CTGGTGCACAATAGAGACAGAAATATAGAGATACTGTTGGCCGTCCATATCCGCAGGTTCCCAAACCATGGATTCAACCAACTGAAGACTTAAACATAGTGCACTGTCCACAGTTGCTTGAAACCAGGAATGTGGGAACCCACAGATATGGAGAACCAACTATGGGACACTAGTATTCAATCATTTTTGTGTCTGTGGCGAGTCCAGGACCAATCACCTGATGAATACCGAAGGACAACTATATATAGAAGCACATTTCGGTTCTCACAAAAGAGAGTAACTTTAGGAACTACTCACAAGGAAAATTTAAAGTAATTGTAGTATATACAGTGGGATAGTTTTAAAAAAAACAAGTGTGGAACAAAATCTACTCCCTTGTGTTTCTTGATACAGAGATTTTTACATATTCTAATGTGTGTTAAAATGAAAGATGGAGCCCACTTACGCATTGAAATAATCTCAACTTCAGAGTTTCTGAATCCTTGTGATCATTCAGTCATCCCTCAAGTCCCAGGAAATAAACAGATCCTAGAGGAGGGGGCTCAACACCAGTAGGGTCGTGAAGAACTTGGGACCTGATGTCCAAGCATAGATTATGGGTTATAAGAGCCCAGCTGTGTCCCTGCACAGACATTTCATACTTTATTTGATATCAGAACTGTGCTCTGCTTTGGCTATGATGAAGTGTTTGCCTCCTAAAATAGCTGTATGCAAAAATGTTGTATTTCTTGGAAAAGAAAAGCCATTATATAGATGATTAATTTAACAGGCAAAAGCGAATGAAATATTAAATGTGAAAAATGAAGTGCACGTTATGGAGAACACTATGGAGAACCAGAAGGCAGAAAGGGAAGAATTGAGCTGCCTTCGGATGGCGTGGCAACGTAAAGCCACGGCAGGCAAGCCTGTGAAACAGCAGTGGGGAGCCTTCAAAGAGCACCTTAGAAAGGTGAGGGAACATGCAATGGGTATTATTTAGCCTTAAAAAGGAAGGAAATTCTGACCTGTGCTGCACATGGAGGAACCTTGGGAGCATAAGTGAAATCAGTCAAACACAAAAGGATAAATATTGTGATTCCACTTATGTGAGGTACCCAGAGTAGTCAAATTCATAGAGCCAGAAAGCAGGATAGAGGTTACCAGGGGCTGAGGGGTGGGGTGTCAGGGGGAGCGGAGAAAAGGGAGTTAAGGTTTAATGTGGACAGTTTCTGTGTGGGAAGATGAAAAAGTTCTAGCAATGGATGGTGGTGATATTTGCAGAACAATGTGAATGTTCTAGTGCCAATAAACTACACACTTAAAATGGTTAAAATGGTAAATTTTGTTATATGTATTTTACCACAGTAAAAAAGAGGGCCTGTGCTTTTGTTCTTTGGTGGTTTAGAACCACAAGCTCACGCTGGGTTGTGTGTTTTTATGGGAACTGAGAA